AAACAGGTGATTACCAATTTCATCAGGAAATACATCATATGTCGTTACGGAGTTCCTCACAGAATCATCACTGATAATGGTTCTAATCTTAACAATAACATGATGAAGGAGTTGTGCGAAGAGTTCAGAATTGAACATCACAATTCATCGACGTATCGACCAAAGATGAACGGTGCATTTGAAGCTTCTAACAAGAACATAAAGAAGATCATCCAGAAGATGGTTAGAACATATAAAGATTGGCATGAAATGTTGCCTTTTGCTTTGCATGGCTACAGAACGTCTGTGCGTACTACAACAGGGGTAACTCCATTTTCGCTTATCTATGGCACAGATGCAGTGCTTCCTGTCGAAGTAGAAATTCCTTCGTTGAGGGTTCTGATGGGAACCAAGCTTGATGAGGCAAAATAGGTTCAGACAAGATTCGACCAACTTAATCTGATTGATGAAAAGCGTTTGGAGGCCATTTGTCATGTCCAGTTGTACCAGCAAAGGATGAGGAGGGAATTCGACAAAAAGATTCGTCCTCGGAAGTTTTATCCTGGTGATTTAGTCGTGAGAATGGTCATCGTGCAAAGCCATTCCGATCCAAGGGGAAATGGACTCCAAACTACGAGGGACCATATATCGTGAAGAGAGATTTTTCAGGAGGTGCTCTAATCCTGACAGACATGGATGGGGAAGATGTTCCACTCCCAGTCAATTCAGACTCAGTCAAAAAATACTATGCATAAAGAGACTCGCTAGGTCGAAAACCTGAAAGGGCGACTTAGGAAAAAAATGGGCATCCCGGTGGACACGAAAGTCTAGGCAAAAATTAGGGATAAAAAAAAGGGATAATAACCCGCTAAGTTGAAAACCCGAAAGGGCGACTTAGGCAAAAATGGGTATCCCGTTGCGTCGAAAACCCGAAAGGGCGATCCAAGCAAAAGTTAGGGATCTTAAGGGAGATGCTATAGTCTGAATGCTCTTTACGAATGACACATGCACATCTATAGCACCTTGGCAGCGAATTGATCGGTCCAACTGCTACTCTTCAGAGGCAAGGCATTGAGACTACTTAGGATATGGGAACTGTAGCAATACCGATTTTAATGGAAATTCGAGCATCTCTCATTTCCATTTATACTTGTTGTATTTTCCATTTCTATTTCGCAGCTACCTCATATAGGAGTTGCATCCCTGTACAAATTCCTATTCACAGGCCAATCAATAAAAGTTGCTTTCATCAAAAAGTTTTCTTCTATTATCATAAAAATGTTTTTCGTATGCGAAGTGTGTTTTAGTCGTTATTAAACACTGCATTAGAAACATGGGGAATAAAAATTCTCAAGCCGAGATAAAACTTGACTTTACATCGATATATAACCATGAGGGGGTGTCGTATGCATTCCAAGTGTTGTTTTTCCTTGCAGGTAGCAATTTGTAACAGTCGTCATGACTAAGCCAGCGCACGAAGCTGCCTTCATCTGCTACAGACAACTTCAAACCTGATTCCCCAAGTGAATTCAGAAACTTCAGAATTTCCATTTGACTCGGCACACACAAGTGCATCCCTAGTGGAGTTAATCAAGAACATCCCCAGTGGAGCTAAACTGGGGCATTCGCAGAGCTAAACTGGGGCATTCACAGAGCCAAACCGGGGCATTCACAGAGCTAAACCGGGGTATTCGTAGGTGTCCATACCCATCTCTTGTCCCCAAGTGATTCAAGAAGTAATTCCCCAGTGTGGCGTAAACTTGGGGCACGTATTCAGAGAGATTCACATGGTGTTTAGCATCTATTCTTCGACATATTCAGTTCTATCATCCTCTCTACGGTTCAAGATGTATGGATGTTTAGCCAGATTATCTCTTCCCCAATGGTACAATTCAAAATTCAGAAGCGTATATGAAGACTCGTTTCATCGACAATTCAATCTCCAGCAGAGTCATCAACAATCTTCGATATCATGGGCTCCCTAATGCGAACTCTTATTAGTATCCCCAACGATCTTTGGTACTGCAGGTTTCCAGCACCGATATGTATTGGCATCCCCAGTGATGAGCAATGGTTCCCAATGAGCTTTTGCTTATCCCCATGAAGTCTATTTCTTCGCATTGCATATAGTTATCATTACATAACATTGCATCTTCAAAAGCGCGTAGCTGATCCATCAGAGTGGATCTTTGCGGCAAAAGAAATTGAAACATGCATACGAAGCATAAGCCAGATCAGGTACCTTGCACGAAAGACCCGAGTCATTCAAGAACAACAATACATCCCTACAAGAGGATATCACTCCCAAAATCATCAGTCAATGACCTTTACCTTTTCAATTCCCAGCAAAATCAATACACCAAGTCTAAACCCAACACTCGTCTGCGTCAGTTTCCTGAACACTCATCGGTGTCAGTTATCCAAACACTCGTCTATGTCCGTCTGTCCTCCTCCATTAACAACAGATTCAACACGATAAACTTGGTCATTCTCGTATCTCTAATTATCGTGTCGTGACCAATACCACAACCTTCTTAGAATTGTAGGTCGTCCGTAGACCTAGTTTTTGGTAGATCGACCGTAGATCTAGATTCCCTTGTAGGTCGACCGTAGACCTAGTTTTGGTAGACCGTCCATAGGTCTTACCTTAGGATTTTAGATGGACCGTAGATCTAGATTCCCTTGTAGGTCGACCATAGACCTAGTTTTGGTAGACCGGCCGTAGGTCTTACCTTAGGATTTTAGATCTAGATTCCCTTGTAGATCGACCGTAGGCCTAGTTTTTGGTAGATCGCCCGTAGATCCTCGTAGGACCTGAGATAACCCTTAGGATAGGTTCTTCCTCCCACCATCGTCGAACCTGAGATCGCCCGTAGGCTAGGTTCTTCCTTAGATCATTGTAGAACCTGAGATCGCCTCTTGGCTAGGTTCTTCCTTAGATCATCTTTGAACTTGAGATCGCCTCTTGGCTAGGTTCTTCCTTAGATCATCGTAGAACCTGAGATCGCCTCTTGGCTAGGTTCTTCCTTAGATCATATTAGAACCTAAGATCGCCTCTTGGCTAGGTTCTTCCTTAGATCATCGTCGAACCTAAGATCACCCATAGGCTAGGTTCTTCCTTAGATCATCGTCGAACCTGAGATCGCCCGTAGGCTAGGTTCTTCCTTAGATCACCGTCGAACCCGAGATCTCCTCTTGGCTAGGTTCTTCTTCAGATTATCTTAGAACCTGAGATCGCCCGCAAGCTAGGTTCTTCCTCAGATCATCTTAGAACCTGAGATCGCCTCTTGGCTAGGTTCTTCCTTAGATCATCGTCGAACCTGAGATTTCCCGTAGGCTAGGGTCTTCCCATAGATCATCTTCGAACCTAAGATCGCCTTTACGCTAGGTTCTTCCTTAGATCATTGTCGAAACTGAGATTTCCCGTAGGATAGGTTCTTCCTCACATCATCTTAGAACCTGAGATCGCCCGTAGGCTAGGTTCTTCCCATAGATCATCATAGAACCTGAGATCGCCCGTAGGCTAGATTCTTTCTTAGATCATCGTCGAACTTGAGATCGCCCGTAGTCAAGGTTCTTCCTTAGATCATCGTTGAACCTGAGATCGCCCGTAGGCTAGGTTCTTCCTTAGATCATCGTTGAACCTAAGATCGCCTGTATGCTAGGTTCTTCCCATAGATCATCTTAGAACTTAAGATCACCTCTTGGATAGGTTCTTCCTTAGATCATCGTCGAACCTGAGATCGCCTCTTGGCTAGGTTCTCCCATAGATCATCGTAGAACCTGAGATCGCCCTTAGGCTAGGTTCTCCGACGGATCACTCTCATGTTTCACCTTAGGATCGTAGGTCGCCCGTAGACCTTGTCCTCTGTCTTTTCGTACCAACCATTTGTCTTTTATTGGCATCACGCCACGTTACAAGTCCAATCTCTATCTCTTCACTAAAAAATGAAAAATTCTTTCCCCAACAAATAAAATAAAAACACTTACACTCTCTCTTAGGACAAATTTTTGGCATTGATATTTAATCATCTTCAACCTTGAACTTCCGAAAGGCACGCGCCAATCGTACTTTCAGGTTCAAGACGATTAAATAGGGGCAGCTGTAATATCCTAAATTTGTCCTACCCCTTTACTTTTATCAGGCTTAAGCTTTTTCATTCATCTGCATATATTCTATTAGAACAATTAACACCTCATGCATCATTAACCAATAAATTTAACACGTGATCATGGATTTCTAGGAATTAGGATTTCTCCGTACTTTTAAGCTCTCATCTTCATGCAAGTTTAGATCGACTGATCTCCTAAATAATCAGGGTTTGAAGTTAGGGTTTTAAATCAAGATACCTTTCACTATGCAAGAGAGTTATCATTTGAGCGTATCTTGTTTTTAACAAAATAGGGTTTGAATTTGGGCGCATTAAGAACTTCTTCCTCATCAAGCTATCCACCAAGGATTTCAATTAAAGAATTAGGAGTTTAATTTTGCAAACGTATCGGTGTTAGTTTGAATTTTCATCAGTTAAGGGACTACTTATTTCATAAGTGGAGATTAATTGGTATTCCCTCGAATTGGCTAGAACTTGGGAGTTGATATGGAATTAGGGTACATATGTGGTTCATTATGAATATCAAACAAATGTTGAAACAAATGTTGCAAGGTATATCCATTTAGATCTCTTGGAGTTCAATTTACAAGTACAAAAGGCCCAAATGATGCATTACGGTACTTAAAAAAGGACTGAGGCATTCATGGGTCTGCCATAGTTAATTCAAAGGAATCTAAACACTATGTTAATCAGTATATCATCACTCTATTAATGCTACTTCAAAGTCAAGAAATGATGGGTAATATGCTGAGACAATATGCTTGGAATATACAAAGTTAAATCATTGATTTCAAAAGTATGTGACAAATGTCGTAAATATCACGATGTCGTCATTTTTAAAATTTAAAATCAATACAAGTACACAAAAAAAATATACATGGTAGTCCGCCCTAATACAGTCCTAAAGTTTCATCGTGAGTCGGCTTTGCTCCAGCCATCATTGCGTCCAAATATCTGACTTGCATCATTACTGGAACATGTACGCCATAACAAGTGTACGGTCAAACGCAACCACAAAAGACTTGCCTTCAACATGTATGAACCTGCGTTCGTTGGCTCGGGAAAACAAAATCTTTCCTGCACAAGAGAAAAGAATGTGAAGTGATGCACATGCGGTTTCAAGAGGTTCCAAGTGCAAACATAATAAAGTGTGAAATTAATGCAAATTACAGCAACCGTGCATATCTACAGAACTGTAATTTTGCATCATTATACTAAGATCTGTGGCATTACATCAAGGGCCTATAAGAACAAAAACAAACAGGGGAATATTTAAGGCATCTTGAGTGCTTCGAAAATCAAATTTTGCACTGCGTTCAACATAAAACAATCATTAATTAGAGCTTCCCTGTTCAAGAGAAAAAACCAACCAAAAACCATATCATAACAGAACCACTTTCTAATTGTGATAACCCCTCTCACCCTTCTAATGGCTTTCCCTAACATCACCTAACCATTCTCCATAAATAGCTCTCTAACCTCTAACAACTCATAACAGAATCCAACAGCCCTTAACAGAAATCCCCAACGGCCTAACAAAATTTCAGCTCTCTAACCTCTAACAACTCATAACAGAATCCAACCACCTGAACAGAATTCCCAAACAATCTCTAACTGTCTCCAACTGCATAACAGAATTCTTAACTAACTTCTAACTGATATAACAAAAAAGAGATAGAACTGGAAGGATGTAACAGAAGGCTACAGGAAATATCAGAAAGGAGAAAAAAAAGAATCCAACAAACAGAAGAATTCAACAGAATACAAAAGAGGATAACAGAAAACAGAAGAAAAAAATCGAACAGAAAAAATAGAGGAGGAGGTTCAGGACAAAAGAGAGGAAAACTCACCAGAAAATGATTTGAAGAAATTCTCTTTCTGCTCTCTTCTTCATCCTCACAATTGTCTCTTCTCCTCGAGATCCACGCTGAAATCTTCATCTCAATTCTCTGCACTTTCTCCTTGACCTGCTATAATCTTCACGTGGTGTTGAATCTTCAACCGTAACAGCATTCACATCATTTTCATCTTCTTTTTACAACAACTACAACAACTTCATGTAGTTTCAGGCAACGATTCACAGCAGTATCAAGCAGCAACAACGACATCACAACTTGCTAACAACAAAGAAGAAAAAGAGTATTGAAAATATAGCACTTAAGTTCTCTGAACTATCACCAGAATTGCACCATCATCCAACCTCCACTGATTCTTTAATCATCATCTTCATCGCGGAGCCAATCTCCAATTTCCATTTTCAACGACCTTTGTTCTCCTACAAATATTCATCAACAAATCTGCAAAGACAATAGTGCATTAACAACAGTTTAAATCGCAGATGAAGAAGAAGTGATCTAAGCGGATAAGAAGAAGAAAGTAGAAGGAATTAGTACCTGATCAAGCGAAGGAATCTGTTCTCTGGTTTTCTTGTTCGACATCTTCGAGATTTTTGCAGGTAAGATCTCTTTCACTTCTGCGACTTATATCGTTTCGAGTTTGCATTTAAAGTCGAGTATTCTTCTGCCCTGTGTGTATCCGTGGTTGTTTTGCGTTGTTGTGTTCGAATCGATCATATGAAGCGGTGTTGAACGAAGAAGGTTTTGTGAATCGAAAGGAAGACAAAGAGATGGGTGGAACAAAGATTTGAGATGGAGAGGACGAAGCAGTCGCGAAGGAATCAGTGAGGTACTGGGTGAAGAGAAGCAGAGAATACGGAGGATATAAGGCCAAGACGGCGAAGTGGTTGAACGGTGAAGCAAGTTGAGAGCCGCGCTGTTGAGTGAAAGAGAGGGAAGAGTGATTTTTGATGAAGAAGATTAAGAGTCTTTGTTCTTGAACCATAATACCTTTATTCTTAAATTAATTTGTTTAATTCTTTTTTTTTCCCAATTCAATAATAAAAATGAAATGGACTGATGAATGTCTCATGATGGGCTGAATTGGACTGGCCTAGGCCCGGTGTTGTTTTTTCGAAACTTAAAGAAACACAATAAAAACTGTATTGGACCTTAGACAGTTTGGGCCCTGCACATGAATTTCTTACTACAATGTACCATCAAACCCCAATCAGCACCCTCCTGAATTCACTAATTCTTTATTAGATTTAGTATTTTTGTGTTAATTTTTGTCAATGTAATACATGATAAAAATAATATAAAAAAACGGTATAAAATAGTAGACTTTAATAGAAATTTTAGGAATTAATTTTAGTTTTTCGATAGAATTTTCTTTACAAAAAAAAACTAATAAAAAATATACTTTTCTCTTTTAGTTTTTATCCGCATTTTCGTGCCGCTTTGCAATGTTATATTTTGACGCGTTTATTCATTGTGCAAGGTACATTTTTGTGCTTTCGATCATGTAATATGACAGGTAGTTATATGATTGAAGCATACGGCTTATGCTCGCTTCTGATACGACACGACTTGTTTCTCATTGTCCCGAGAGAGTCATATCGTATTATATGTTGTCCTGATGCGTGTGATGCTTTATGATGTCTTGTGCAGGAATTTCTGATTACGCGTTGCATTCTCAACACGCGTTCGCTTTTATCTTAGTTGGATACTATTTCGGACTTTGTTCATTTTTGGTGAAGCTTGATCAATGCATACTCCTTGCTTCTCCAGTGCTTTCGTCTGCTCTTGACGATTTGCTCGCTTTTGGTAGTCGCCGCTACTACCTTCGCAATTCTTCGCACTTTACTACATTTATTTATTGCTTTCTAGATACCATGAGAAGTAGGAAATAAAGAGCGTGGACACAAAGTCGCTGTTTAAATACCTGTAGCGGGAGTTCTGCACTTCATCTGCTATATGTGTTGTGCTTGTGTTTGTTTCTGTGATTGTTGATCGATGAGTCACTCAATTTAGAAATTGAGATGATGACTTCGCTCTCAGTGCATGCTCCCTATAGGACTTTACCGCTTTCCTCTATTTCTTATTGATCGATGAGTCAGTCAATTTAGAAATTGAGATCACGACTTCGCTCTCAGTGCATGCTCCCCATAGGATTTTATCGCTTTCTATTATTTCTTGTTGATCAATGAGTCACTCAATTTAGAAATTGAGATCACGACTTCTCTCTCATTGCATGTTCCCTATAGAATAGTTTGGTTAGAATTTCTTTAGCATGCTGACCTAAATAGGATCTCTGTGACTGTGCTCTCTTGAGCTTATTAGCTTGCTTGCTTTATCCTTGTACATACCATATTCCCTTAAGATGTGCTTGATCCCTTTGGATGCAAGTTAGAGCTTAGGTTGTAAACCATGCATGCTAACATTAGGTAGACACTTCCCTTTTGTTCATCCTTGATTTAGGGCTACCATTGTGTGATAACATTAGGTTTAGAAATAGGATAGTCTCCCTTAGGCTCTTTTTTCCCCCTTTTTGCATCCTTGCATTTAAGACAAACTCATTTTCTTTAGCAAATCAAAAACATGCTAATCTCACTTAAACCCTTTTTCAGGGTAACAAAAACACAAACCAATTAAAACCATTTTGTGCGTTCTAGAACCTTTCCTCTAAAACCCTTTTCAGGTAAGGACATGATTAGTTTACTTATGTGCCAACACATAAGTCTCCAAAGGTCGAGCTACGGCAGAAGGCGGAATTAACTTCGTCCATAAAAAACACAAACAAACAAAAACATGTGAGCCGAACTACGGTAGCTCTGATTCCTCAAAAAGGATACGTAGGTATTGGGGTAGGGCCCAAGAGAGCACAATTTTATTTTCCCTACATTCCTTTCTCCTTTATTTTGCATGCATTCTTCCTTCAGTAGTATAGTAAACAGTAAGCATAGATTAAACACACCCATAAGATAGACAACAAGAGTGGATACCGTAGAGTACTACAGGCGTGTGAGGTGCTAATACCTTCCCCTCGCATAACAGACTCCCTTACCCGATCTCTCGGTCGTAAGACCATGACTTCTCCCTTATTAGGTTTTCTCGATGTTTACCTTTCCCTACATATGGGATAAAAAACGTTTGATGGCGACTTCATTGTTTGATGATTTTCAGCCGGTTGTTTCAGTACTCTGATAGTAGCTTCTTCCACCGGGAAATCCTTTCTGTAAGAGCCAGTTTTTCGAAAACATACTTTAAAGGATCCATTCTTTCCATTAACCACATGTTGTGAGTTAACATATACTGCCTCAATCTCTTAGTAACCCAAGCAAATGCACAACAAGTTTTCTCGAGAAGTGAGTACCTGGTTTTGCAATCAATGAATTTCTTGTTGAGGTAGTAGATTGCATTCTCTTTTCTAGCTGTTTCATCATGTTGCCCCAATACAAATCCCATTGATCCTTCAAGAAATGTTAGGTACATGATGAGTGGTTTTCCTGGAACTGGTGGGATTAAGATTGATGGCTCTTGTAAATATTGCTTTATTGTCTCGAAGGATGTCTGACAATCATTATTCCATACTACCATCTGATCTTTTCACAGTAATTTGAATATGGGCTTGCACGTGGCTGTTAGGTGCGATATGAACCTTGAAATGTAGTTCAATCGTCCTAAGAAATCACAAACCTCTTTCTCTATTCCCGGAGCTGGCATTTCTTGTATGGCTTTTACCTTGTCAGGGTCTACCTCGATACCATGCTGACTTACAATGAAACCTAGTAGTTTGCCTGATATGACGCCAAATGTACACTTGTTTGGATTCAACCTTAGCTTGAACCTGCGCAGATGCTCGAATAACTTTTGTAAATATATGATGTGTTCCTCCTCTGTATGGGATTTGGAAATCATATCATCTACGTACACCTTAACCTCTTTGTGAATCATATCATGGAATAATGTGACCATAGCCCGTTGATAAGTGGCCCATGCGTTCTTCAGACTAAACGACATTACCTTATAGCAGAAAGTTCCCCAAGGTGTCATAAAAGTGGTCTTTTCCACATCTTTGGGTTCCATATTGATCTAATTGTAGCCTTAGAAACCATCCATGAACGATAATACCGAAGCTTGAGCTGTATTGTCCACCAAAACATCTATGTGAGGTAACGGGAAATCGTCTTTGGGTCTTGCTTTGTTCAGATCCCGATAATCCACACACATGTGTACTTTACCGTCCTTCTTAGGTACTGGCACAATGTTATCTATCCAAGGTGGATAATCTACCACTTCTAAAAACCTTGCGTCAAATTATTTAAGGACCTACTCTCGAATCTTGTTGGACATGTGTGGACGAGTTCTTCTGAGTTTATGCCTAACTGGAGAGCAACCTTCCTTGAGAGGTAGTATATGCACCACGGTGTTTGCATCCAATCCCGACATATCTCTATAGGACCAGGCAAATATATCCATGTATTCATGTAACAACTTGATCAACCTTTATTTGACGCTTTTCTCCAATGTTTCCCCTAGATTGATCTCTTTCAGATCTTCCTATGTGCCAAGGTTAATGATCTCAATAGATTCCTGGTATGGTTGTATGTTGTCAACTTTTTGTTCTATCTCTCTCGCTAATTCTTCATAAAGTTCAAGATCTTCATCATCTTCCTCTTCAAATTGGTTGATGGGTGCATCAAAATTATATCGGATAGCAACAATAACATTATCAGTGATTTTGGGCATGGATCTGCATATTTATCATGTTTTGGTGCAGTTTTTTAGTATATGAATTTTGGAAAATGCGTATGAAGAAAAGTATTTCCATTTTTAAATGTATGAAATAAATGCAAGAGAAAGATAAAGATATTAAATCGAGTGCAAAATATAACTTTTTATTAATTTTGAATACTGCCTGAAACAAAATGGGTGAACCTTAAAAGAAACCCATATGCCTCGGGCTTGACATAGGTTCTTTCAAAAAACAAGAAAAATTACTTTGGAAAGGAAAAGATCTCCAGAATCTCCACAATTGTGCAATTCTTGAGTTCTTTGCTAGGGAGAATTCTCGGATGAAATCAGATGCCCTATTGATGTTGTTCTTGTTAGATATCATCTCCACCTGTCTACCATGCTCTACTTCTTTGTTGACGACGGTCTCCTAGATTGGAGGAAACTGTGCTCTGCCTTTCAGATTGGCCTTTGATAATTCATAGCCCAAATCAAAAAGATTCTTTTTCTCAGGTATTTCCGGGAGCTTTCCCAAACCCTTCGAGGTACCACTTCCCACTACTGTTTGCAAATCTCTGCACGAAGTCATAGTAGGTTTCTTGATTTTTTTCCACCGGTAAGGTTACCATTGAAGCAACCTCCAAGACTTGAAAAGGTGTGGCTATACAGTCTTCATCAGCATTGATATACCTGTATGATTCAATGTGACTTACAAAGATGTCCTTTTCACCATCTATTATGACCAATCTTCCTTCAACGAAGAACTTCAGCTTTTAATGTAAGGTCGAAGTGAATGCCCCTACCGCATGAATCCAAGGTCGCCCAAGTAAACACGTATACGCTATTTCTATATCCATGACTTGAAAAGTGATATAAAACATGTGTGGGACGATCTTGACAGGAAGGTCCACTTCTCTGAATACTGAACTTTGAGAACTGTCAAAAGCTTTGACTATCTTGGCACTTGGTCATATCACAACACCGTCTAGTGTTAACTTCATCAAGCTGGATTTTGGTAGCACATTGAGGGAAGAACCAGTATCGGTGACTACCCTGGACAAGCTTGTAGTACCTATCCGAATAGAGATGTGCAATGCCTTATTGTGAGCTCAGACTTGTGGAGGTAACTCCGTGTTATTAAAACCCAGATATAATCCAGACGTCAGATTTACTACAACATTGTCAAACTGGTTTACAATAATTTCCTCTATGACATGGGAAAAACTCAGAACCTTCATTAAAGAGTCTCGATGTGCTTCTAAATTGATA